ATATATATATATACACATATATATATATATATATACATATATATATATATATATACATATATATATATATATATATGTATATAGAGTAAATGTAACTTATTAATGAAGGAATTCCAGAAAAATGAAAGATATAAAAAAAAAAAGACAGGGGATAGAGAATGGTCAACCATTTGATTATTGTCAATTCATTAATCCTTCATGCAATCTTTTTATTTTTCCCTTAGTTTTGAGCAAAATACTTTAATCTTTTTTATTTCAAAATTTCCGACTTTTTTTACTCGATTTAAAAGTTGTCATCAATGATGAAAAGAATCCCAAATGAGTTGGGGATCGCTGAGTCGTACATCACTAGATTACTAAAATTGCATCGTCTTATATAATATACAGGATGCCCATAAAATAACGAATATTATAAAAATGCAACATTTTGTCATATTATCAGTACAAAATGACCAAAAAACCCTCCCAATTTTGAGCAATAATCTCACACATTAAAAGAAATAATCTCTCATATTTTCATCATATAATGCCCAAAATACCATATTTTTAAAGGCAATGCAATAATAAAAAAAGATACCACATCTTTGTCACCTTATCATTTACCCTCTCAATTCTTAGTAATATGGTAAATCGCCCTCTCATACATTTGAAATTATCATCTCTTTTGTTGGACAAACTTCAAAACAAGATGTTTAATGTAATACTTATGTATGTTCATGTCTTTTGGTATGTTCATGTTTTACACAACATGTAGAGGGACGACTGAGGGATTAATAGTCCCATTTTAGTTGGGTTTGGTAGTTGCTTTAGGCTTGTAAATAAATGTTGTGTTATGTGGACACTTATGATAGATTTTTGGTTTGTAATAGACCATTTTGACCCTTTGTTGTGTAACTATTCAGAGCTTGTAAAGTATGTTTATAATTTGCATTGTCTATGAAGTGTTTCTTGGAATGTTTGCTTGTGGATCCCGAGTGATGCATTCTCTCTAACCCGTTTTCTCTTTCGTAGGTCCTAAGGGACTATGGGAGGCTTCGAGGAGGTTGACCTTTGCGTTCGGACACGCAAGGGTGCCGTACGACTTAGGCAAAACCAGCTAAGTCCGTGACAAATGGTATCAGAGCAAGACAAGCACTCATAGAAACACTTAGCATGCAAATGTGGAAGACCTAGCGGGGCTGCGTTGAGGGCAGTTAGCACATGCGCGACCGTTTGGGGGAAAACGAGCATGGAGATGTAGGGAAAAGGAGTCGCTCGGAGGAGCGGGCATCTGAGATTGGCATTCAGAGGAATGACAACCCTTCGTGTAAGAGGCACCACGAGAACAGGCAAGCTTGGAAGAATGCGGAGCGCATAAAGGTTGGGATGGTTGAGTTTGAGTTACGGCTCAACGTTGACAACTATACTTGATGGTGCTAAAGGCAAGCGAGGCGCTTAGTAAAGGATGAGACCATGCAAGGTGGAATGAGTTGCTCAGTGACCGAAAGAGTTGTACAAAGCTCACAAAGGTGAGGAGAATTGCTAACTCAAAGAATTTGATACTCATGCATGGGCTTGTATGCGGACGATGGAATGTTCGCGGCCATCCCAAGGCGACCGAAACTCGACGCCCTGGAGCATTGAAAATTTCTCTTTGGCATATGAAGGATATGTCCGTAGGAGGCTGAAGTGTGCAACGAGTTCAGCATGTTGCTAGACCTTGAGTGGTGCAACGGGGGCTGTATTGACGTGGAATCGCAATCTAGCTAATACGTTTGCAGGAGGTAGAACAATGCACAGTTTGTTCAGCAAATCGGAGTAGTCCAAGGGGATAGTGGTCGCCGAAACGAAGAGAGATGTTGCTCCAACGGGACAGTTATCTAGGAGGGATAAGTCCTAGCTCTTCGGAGGGAGAATCATGTGGGACGGACTTCACATGTTGAGGAGGAGTACCTCAACAAACAACAACTCCACGAAGCTCAATGGACTGAATAAGCAGCGAGGAGTCATCGCACGATCTCGCTCGAGAGAATGCATTAGTGGATGCATTGCGAGATCAAGTGAGGGAGTGACACAAAGCAACACAAATGAAGACACACTTGGAGTCGATATGGAGATTAGACTCAAGGGAGGGCTGACCCGTGGAATGGTGGGCGCGAGGGCCACCATCAACTTAATGCAAAAACGAGGAGCGGAGCAACTTGGGTATAACTTGGTGAAGTACCCAAGCCGTATGAAGGGAGCCAGTATAGAAGATGGAACATGGAGTAGAGGCACAGTGCTTTCCTTGGACAGAGGTCAAGGACATGAACTCTTGCAGAGGCAAGAGCGGGATTATGTTATTCCATGGGTCCTTCATTCTGACGGAGCAGACTCATCTTGCATGGTGCCAAAGACGAAGGGAGCTTCTGGGCACATGCACCTTATCTCGGAAAAGCATTTGATGGAGGAACTAAGGTGACTCAATTTACGAAGGCGAAGTGAGTTTAGAAAGCCTTGGCACAGGGCAAGAGGACGCGGAGGCGAGTACTCTTGAAGAATATGTCATAGTGTTGCCATTCAAGTTGCCATGAAGGAAGCGGTGCACAGCGGAAATTATGCTAGTAAGGGCAGAGGCCCAGGATCCAAACAATGGTGCACTAATTGCGGTAAAGTCGGGAGCTACTAGGCGACGGACTATCCTAGAGCAGTGCTTCATCTAGGTGTGACCTAAGAGTGGGTAGATGAAGGTCGATTGCCAAAGGAGCAAACAAAATCGAAGGTGGAAAAGACCCTGCGATGTATTGGCAGAGGCCACATATGGAGGGATCACAATTCGAGTTCATCCCACAAGGATCAGAATGCAATAGAGATGTCACCAAGAGGCAACATGGTGCAACGGATCATGGTGGAATAGTTCGTGGCAATGTGATACACATGAATGAGTCCCGTGAGGGATTAGATCATACGGAGGTATGATCGGGAGCTATTGGAAGCTCCACTTCGGTGAACAATACGACGGTAAGAAGGGCTATGGATTCAAGGAGTGAAGGCCATGGTACCGTAGAGGCGGGTCTTCCGTGCATGCATCGAATTTTGCATCGGATGAAAGCCTTGGTCATCAGCATATAGGGGCTATGTTCCACCAAGGGAAAAGTTTGAATGCAAGTACTAGTGAGTCCCATGGGAGGGACTTGATCATACAAAGGTATGATTGAAGCAGCTGGAGAGTTGGATTGCTTTAGAGCTCATATTCGCTTAAGGGAGCCCGGCAAGTCAGAGGACAAGGTCGAGTAAGCGAACGTTGCTACCAAGGAAGCTAAGGAGAACAGAATCGGTGCAAACCCTACAACGTGATGGCAAAGGCCATGCATGGGAGTTGCAATCTGTCTTTCCATCGATCAAAGGGAGCTGCTTGGAGAATATAGAAGTGTTGAAGCAAAGGGTCGAAAGGGGCGAGGAAGCGATGATGAGTCCAGAGGGACTTAGCTACCCAAAATCAAGCATCAGTTAGAATGGAGGTGGACTCAGAGGAGTGCCACAGAAACATATCTACTGATCGTGAAGAAAAGGGATGCAGATGCGAGGCGACGGATAGTAGGGCCATGGGCATGGCAGCGCCATGGTACCATAGAGGCGGGACTTCCGTGAAAGTCATTGATCCCTTGCTCTCATGAAGGGAGAGCGCTTGGTCGTGAAAGGGGCCGAGGAAGTGGAGCATGCAGAGGCAAACTCCAAGTACCGAGATAAGGCTGAAAGGTAGAGGCCAAGGAACTTCGTAAGATTGGTGTTAACGAGCTTCTCATCAAGATTGCCGAAAGTGAAGGACTTCGGGTCAAGCAAGAGTGCACGACCAAGGAACGAAGCAGGTAGTACGCGGTGTTGTACCTTTGCTACTCAATGGAGTAGGCGGCAGGGTTGATGGAGAAGACGGTACAATCCTAGAGGCGACCAAATATATTAGAGAATTACTCCAAGTTGGAGTGAAAACTTCCTGCATTCCAGAAGTTCGATGGCATTGAGAAGGTGAATCATAGTAACTAACTCAATGCAAGGAGTGCAAACACTTCAAGTGCTTTAGAAGTGTGAGCAAAGAGCAGACGAAGGCCAGTAACTAGCTCGATACATAGAGTACAACCTCGAGGAGGCGGGCGAAGTCAAGTAACCTTTGCATTCTCAACCCTTAAGAGAATGGGCGAAACTGAGTACCCTAATTCTCTTATCTATCTAGTAGAGGAGCTCTGCATAGGTTCAAAGACCCTTCGAAGATAATGGAAGACAATAGTTGTCAAATCCTCACCAACGGTGATCAGTGTTATTAAGAGTAGATTGTCCGCTTCATTTCCCAATGAAATGCCAATCGAAAGTGGAAGTAATGCGAACCTACTTGGAAGTGACAACTAAGTGAAAGAAGAGTTAATGGGCAAATTTTATGGAGGAAGGATCCAAAACTTCAAAAGTTTGCTAGACGATGCTCGTTAAAGCTCCAACAAGCATCCACCCAATTCAAGCAGTATGAGGCATTTGAGAGACTAGCGCAGTAAGGATGGTCTTTTCCTTTATCTGGAGGATTCGCAGGAATCAACAAGGATCAACACAACTCAGCCAACCCCACACCAGCCAACCCTTTGTGAGTTGAAGTAGCATAGCGGATCAAAGATTCGACTACTCAAAAATAGCAGCGAAGAGCAGCTAGGAGCCAAGAGGCGCATTGCAGCTGGAGTAGAAGATTGAAGACTCAGCAAAGGCGAGGAGTTGTAGTGTTCACAAAGGCTTCCATAAGGACGTCGAAGGAATAAGTGGGGGAGAATGTCACAGACAAACTTCGAAACAGGATGTTTGATATAATGCTTATGTATGTCCATGTCTTTTGGTATGTTCATGCTTTGCACAACATGTAGAAGGATATCTGAAGGCTTAATAGTCCCATTTTAGTTGGGTTTGGTGGCCACTTTAGGCTTGTAAATAAATGTTGTGTTATATAGACACTTATGAGAGATTTTTGGTCTGTAATGGACCATTTTGACCCTTTGTTGTGCAACTGTTCAGAGCTTGTAAAGTCTGTTTGTAATTTGCATTGCCTATGAAGTATTTCTTGGAATGTTTGCTTGTGGATCCCGAGTGAGGCGTTCTCTCTAACTCGTTTTCTCTTTCGTAGGTCCTAAGGAACTATGAGAGGCTTCGAGGAGGCTGATCTTTGCGAACAGACATGTAAGGGTGCCACACAACTTAGGCAAAACCAGCTAAGTCTGTGACATCTTGTCACATTATCATTTTAAAATGATCGAAGAAACCCTCCCGATTCTAAGAAATACACAAACATAATCTATCTCATAGGCTAAAATAATAAAAGGAAAAAATCACTCTTCCACCCATTTTCCCATCACCCCCTATATTTTGAAGACTTTTTATCGTTGTATTCTAGTTCGCTCAGTAGGTGTTTCACGACTTTATCGATCGTTCTGTTCGAAGCTTAGGCGATCAGAGAAGGAATTCAACAACATATCATTCAAGAACAGGTTTCCAAACTTTTCATCAAGAAAGATTCCCAAATTATCATCCGATGGGACCAATGATTCAAGTCAATGCTCTTGGCTACTCTTTTTACATCTAACACCTCAAGTTTGACCAATTTTGCTAGAGCTTGTAGGTCCACTAGCTTGAATTGGGGTAGTGATTTCCCTGTTAATTTTTGTGATAATGAGCATCATACACTGCTTTGATGATTATGGATTAATTTAAAATATATTTTCTAAAAAATAATCAAAAATATTCTTCTTTTGTTTTTTTTTTTTTGAGATGCTAACTCAGTTGGTAATGATTTTATTAGATCACTACAACATTGTAAGATCAAATATCATCTTCACTACTTAAATCTTTAAAATAAATAACAACATACATCTTGTCACATTGTAACCGACCATAATGCACAATGATTGAAACATCACTCACCTCCAATTTTCAAAATTCATTCACTTTAATGCTTCAATCCAAATTAATTTGGTTATCTACATTGCTAGATTGTAAAGTCCTTTCTCGAATCCACCTCCTTGCACGCTTAACATTGACCTTGATTGACAATTTGATTAATACTATGAACACTACTGTTCTTATTAGAGAAACAGAGAGCGAGAGAGAGAGAGAATTCCTCTTTGTTTCCAAAATAAGTCAAAATATATGGATAGGTACAACGTTTTCATTGTAAAAGAATCTAATTTACTCAGGATTACAAAACCCTAAACATCTGACAAAAGAACTGCAACTACATAGAGGAACATGTCATGTACAAAAAGGTCACCCTGGGAAACCAAATCAAGATGGTGAGAAGGATGAAATGGAGATTTCACCAGATGAATGATCGAAGAACGCCTCTATCCCAGCAAAAGAGTCAGCTGCATTGACGGCAAGAGGCTTGCTCAGAAGCTTCACTCCTTGTTTCCAGTATCTGCTAACTGAAATCGACATCCAAAGGATGGAATATTAGTAGTGCAGCAGATCATGAGCAGCAAGCTCAAAAACATCAAATTTGGAATACTGGAAATTTATTAGATCATCATTATCATTTTAAGCGGCTAACAGCACTTGATTTCTCACTTGGTCCAGTTGACACAACAAGGGTTTTTTTATTGTCCAACACCCAATCGATCCAAAGCGCAAAACCATGGCATATTCCCAACTTGGAAAACTCAATCTGCAGGATAATACAAAGTGGTAATATTTAATAATCATGACTATAACAACATCAACAAAGCCAAAAAGCCTCAACTATTTGGGGCTATAGATTTAGTTTGTAGATCTCCTGATTATATTATAGATTCAGTCTTATCCAGACATAAATAATCCTGCATCTTGAACAGGTAAAAACTGTAGACCGCATCATCCAGGATTACCTTTATTTTTCCGGAACATGCGTGAATGGGTTCTAAGAAATTGAACTCAACAAGTGGAAGAATCTCACTGAGTTCCTGTAGTAGACACAGTTAACGAGTGAATAAACTTTCATAGTGGAGCCCATCGTATCAACAATCCAAATAACCAGGATTTTGCATGATTATTTAATTGTGTTTCAAATCTCTTTTGAACTTTCACATAATTACCTCAACCTCACCACACTGCCAAATGTAATAAGGCAGGCAAGGACCTTCCAGCATTGGAGGCAAGTCGCCACAGGCCCCTAAAGTCTTATTTACCACCGAGTGATCAAAGCCTTCAACCTTTTTGAGGCTGCAACGACTTCTCCATAGATCCTTCACATAAAGAAAAGTAATTCTCCATCACCATAAAGAAGTGCCATAAAATTAGCTTGAAGCCAGTGGAAATTGTCAAATGTAAAATAGGAATAGAAAGGAACTCACTGGAAGTGACATAGCACAAACTTTTAATATTCCTTTGCATGGCATGATGACGGCATCTTCAGACAAAATAGAGTCGAGTAGTGTCCTCTCCTTCCTTCATTTTTAGTTAAAAGAGGTTAAGGAAACCATAGAAATACTATAAAACCCCTGCTAACTACAGAATGCATCAAAACTTAGCATCTTAATTCATTTAAATCTAGAAGTAACTGCTAGCTCAGGTGATCCCCCTGTCAAGTTTACATTGATGGAAAGGGGTCACTTCATACACCTCAGTACTGAGCTGAAGGAGTCAAAAATCAAAGCTCAAACCATTAATTTGCTATCACAAAGACAGGGCCAAGTGCAGCTGAAGCAACATGATACATTCCAGTGGTAAATTAAGACAGGACCAAGCTGAGTCCAAGTTTGTTGAGATTAAGCAAAATGTCTATTAATTGAGGTTAAATTACAATTCATAGTATTTAGGGGTGTGTACAAACTATCTAATTATTCATTCTTTGGTGCAGTTAAGATCACCAATTTTATCTTCACAGAGTGAATAAGAATTGTAACAGGAACTCAATTGACTATTAAATAATTAGTTTTAGGAGTCCCAGAAAAAAGGGTCCTAATCTGTCTGGAAGATGGGTCCAGATCAATTAAAGTAGGGACAAGATCATCATAATCTTTGTTTTTACTCAAGTTTTGTGAATGAAAGAGTGAGTTTCTATGATTCACTAGCCCTATTACCTATTGTTTCTTGAAGTCTTTTATTTTATTTTATATATACTTTGCTGGTTTCAACTGACAATCCTTAACCCCACTGCATCCTCCAGTCCATCAAAATATACATTACACAACCACCAACGTCCAGAGTCCAAACAACTGTCCTAGTGCTTGGTATTGATACTAGTTAGCGGGTATGATATATGATATGCAAATATAGTCAACGGAAATTCAGAACATATGAAGGCCGAAATACTGATGCAACTTAAAATTTTGCCTTAGAATGCTTGGATGAGGAATTATACACACAAGAAAATCCTAGCAAATTTATTCATGTCCACCATGATTGTGTGCTCATGGCATTGAAATTCATTCAGGTTAACAAAGAAAATATATTTTAATAAGGAGTTGTGCTCATGACATTGACATTCATTCAAGTTCTAAATGTTATCTCTGATTGTCTTCTTTCATATAGCAATTTTACAAGGCATATTCAAGAGCTTGTTTGTGTGCTGTGTGGGTTCAAAATGGCATTATAGTACAGGGTAAATGATTTCAATCATGATATTATTAAGCTTATATCACCAACAAATACAATCATATAAAACTACTAAAATTTTTGGTTGTAAAGATAATAAGAATGCCAATAAAAACAACATGTTTAACAAGGTAAAAAACCAAAATTGAATCAACAAACCACAAGCAGAATGCAATAACTTATAGACAAGACGATAATGATTTTAATATTGAGAAAGTCATTAAATTTTATAGCATAGTAAAAATAATGACTATATCTTGTGCTTCGATCTACTTGCATATGATAACAATACAATCTATTAACATATTCATTAATCTTATGCAAAAAGAAAAATGCAATTTGACCATATGGTTCAAGGAAATGCAAATGCCTGAAAGACGGAAGAACCAATGTGTCAATTAGCAAATTTCAAGAGGAAATAAACAGCTGTTATGGATACTCGTAAAACTCGATGACTAGGATTTAGTTTCATAAACATAACAAAGCCAACAAGAAATTTTTTTAATCTCTAACCAAAATCGCAGATTCTGCCATGGGAGCGCCCCTTCATTTCCATAGTAAAATGGCTCTCCCACCAAAAAATCAACCTGAAAAGCAAAACAGTAAACAATGTTCTATAGTATCTGGAGAAATACAGTAAATAGAACATACATGATGTGATTTAAATTTTATACATTGTCTCATTTTCTTCATACAATGGTTGGATTGGAAATGAGCAAAAACTATCTGACCAAGTAAATAATTTAGGTTTATGTTAAGAAGTAGATAAATAATTGATCATATGCATTACCAGCCTATCACCATGAGAGAAGCTTAAGAGGGAAAACAGAGTTGCACTCGCTACATGTTCTTAGATCACACATCAGACCGTGGCAACGGAAGGTTATATAGCTTCCACCATGATGCAGGATGGGTGGGGATGATTTAGGAATGCCTTGGTCAGAATTGTAATGCATATAGGGAAGTAAGCCAATACAACAAAACAGTTCAAAGAAAAAGACACCTATTTCAAATAAACCCTAAGCAGATAATACAATCACCTTTTGCTGTATAAGATTATCTGTGAACAAATATGATGCCCTCTTTCCAATGACCTTCACCCGATCCATAGAGAAACCATTTGAATCAGCAACGGCTCGCAGATACTGGGCACCTTTTTCTTGAATCCCAGGGAAACTTGATATTGTATTTGCATTTTTGGAGAGAGATGAAATAAGAATTGTCAAGAACACGCTATCATCAGCAACAATACACAATGGAGCAGATCTGACATTCAACTGTTACAAAAAGTTCAGATATATGAGCAATACATGCATGAAAATGAAAAAGCACAAAAGTACTTGCATGAGATTGTCAATGCATGAGGAGAAGAGCTTCTCTGAAGTTTAGATATCAACATCAGTAACAGGATTTAGAGCACATGCAATCTATCAATAACCTTTATCATGCTTGTATATACCAAGAAGTAAATAAGAAAGAAGTCCAAATGATGTGGTCACCATTTTTTCATATTCAACAGTCAAAAGCAACAGAAAATTGAAAATTTTTACATTGCTAAGCAATAAATTTGAAATTTTCCAAATCATTTGCAGGTTCACTGGATAGCTTGACTACAAGCTGTTTGCTAAAAGATTGCTTGAACTATCAACATTGGATAAACAATAAACATAACTATAAGTCCTTACTGTATTTCTCATAGCATTTATAAATCCCGACCTCCAATCTTTATCTCCATAAACTGCAACTCTTTCCGGTGAAAGCTCTAAAAGACAGTTCCCAAAGTTGAAGTTGTTACAGCATGTTTGGTCATCACACTTAAGATGATATGAAATCTTAATTTCATCATAAGCAGCTTTAAAGAGAACAAGTTTATCCTTCGAAACAGGCAGTCCTGCCCCTGAAATGAACCAAACACATTGCTTCCAGTGATCACACCAATTCTCATTACCTATTCACAAAAAAGAAGGTCATTAAACACCTTAATTGGTCATTGGCCGTAACTATTTGACTAAATCTATAATGCAACTACACGACACAAGGTTGTCAACATAGAATCTTGACAGGTTCCGTTTGACAATTTATGAATAAACTTGAAAAGACATCTATATGGGGCCTTTATTTGCCAGAAGTTGATGTCACATTTGAGAAATCATGAACATAAAAACAGAGCATCTAAGAGCTACTAGAATGCTTAAAAAGAAATTATCATCTTTTCCCTGTATGTAAATAAATTAACATATTTCCTTAAGGAATAGAATAGGTGTCAGCATGACTCATGTACTGGTCAATTTTTCACTATGCTATTTCTATCACAAGCAAATTCAAAAGACATCCATAAATGGTTTTTTTCACCAAAGTATTAACTTCCACTGACTTCAACAGTAGACAAAATTTAATGCAATCATCACATGTAGTAGAAAGATATATTGTTTGGACGAAATACATATATGATGAAATCATGTCATCCATAAGTACATATACAAGGTAGCTTTGTGAGAATGATTAGAGAAGAAGGATCAGACATGCATAACAAAAAATACTTGGTAGCATGTCGGGCTAGTTCACAAGTACTAGGATATAAGAACTAGGAATGAACAATGCATTCTCTCTCTCTTAAACATGATTAGAAATAGATCCCAAGTCTACTTCTGAGTCAATGCAAGCTCCTTTTTCAAGCCTCCAACCTTCCGATGTCCACGAAACTCTCCTGTGAGATTTTGCTTTAAATACAACATACCCTATGAACACAAACCACAAGTTACATTGTCAACATTTAAAAACAGGGAGACTTCCATAGTGATATTTGCCCATGAAATAAAGTCTTTTTTTACATTGTCAACATTAAAAAAAAGGTAGACTTCTGTAGTGATATTTGCCCATGACATTAACATAGTTTTTTTTTCACTGTTTTAACCTACATGCTTTTGTTCATTATATAAGGTCTATAAATGAGTGACTTAAGTTAAAATGTTGTACGTTAAAAAAAAAAAGCTCAGGATATCAGTATTCTTGAAAGCATATATGACAGGGAATAACTAGGGCAAAGACAAAAGTAACCAGAAACATGTTAGGTATCTAAAGTCACTCTAATGTCATGTATTCAAGATGAAATTCATAGAGGCATGTTGTCTGTTGATGATATTCTAACTATCAATGAGAACAGAATAGGAACCAAAACTAAAAAGAACAATTGAACAAAACTTTAAAATTTATTTTAAGTGGCACTAATCATAAGGTACAGTTATAGCAACATTAAAAGAAGAAATGAATGTTCATTAAAATAGATGAGCAAGAAACTTCTGAAGGTAAAATAAAAGATTCCAATATGTTGGATACCTGATTTATAATTAATTTAACACAAACGGGATACTAACAAGACAATTTCTTATTAAATCAAGCAGGTAGTTGATGAGAAGAAGCACATGGAAAGTTGTGTGAGAATCTAAAGCCCCTTGAGTTACAAATGTTGACAAACAGTCATTAGGCAAAACATGAGTTAAAATGTTCAAGAGATTGAACATATCAAAACACAAGAAAATGAGAAAGTTATGCTTCTATAAAGTATAAAAAAACATATCTAGATTAGAGAAAATTTTGGGGTTGTATCATCAAGGACTATTCTCACTAATGACACAAGTGAAAGTAATGGAAGAGCAAATAAGTTATTAGAAATTTCCTGAACTATCTTGCGATAGTGCTTTGACAAAGCTTAATGTCACATAAGGATCCATGGAGCTGACCCTAAAATGTTGTGACCAACGGCTTACTGCTATTGTTGTTATTGTTCATATGCATAATATTTAATTCATTCGATTATCATTTATATCAAGAATCACATGTTAACATGTTTCATTTAACTTTCTGCCATTATATCAAGAATCACATGTTAACATGTTTCATTTAACTTTCTGCCATTATATCAAGAATCATATATTGTTTATATTCCGCAGGTTTACTAACATTCCTAATTTTACTTATTTTTCCTTTAAAGAGGGGCTGAAACACCAAATTAGTCATCTAACTTAGACAATCTGGCTAATTCCATCAAACCTAAATCTCAGTTATCATTCAAAATGAAACCAAAACTAATGCTTCAAACTTGCATAAAAAGCAGCAAAAGAAACATAATCCAGATCCAACTTGATCAATTTTAGCTAGATTTCTTAACCCATTTAATGGATTATTAATTTACTCCACCAAGGCAAGCAGTTTCCACAATGTCATCTTAGGTATAAATTTTCATAAAGAACAAGAATTGTTTTTCTAACAAACACAGCATAAAAACTTTAAAATGGCAGCCAGCAAGTAGTTACAACTGGTGTAGTGTCTTCTTGATATGTCCTATTGGGGTGTAAATATTATGTAGTAGAGATATTGAGATCAACTTTCTAGGTTTCAAAGGAATAGTCACCGAATAGATGCACATTGCTTTGTTCATTAGGATAAACATTACAATGACTCAACTCACCAGGGATACAATTTTCTACCATTCCATTATCAGGACAGTTTGTCCATCTAGGAGCTGTAGAGTAGAAGATTGAACCCTCCTCATCCAACTGAAGCACCCACCTGCAAATTGAAGACCAAATAAGCATCATCCACTGTAAAGTTTCCATCTCAGTTGACTACATTTGCATGACCATTACCAAGAAATTACAGCAATAACATTTCCGTCACCGCTAGCTTTTATCGACATTTCAATTTCACCATGACTCTCTGGTTTCTTCCAAAAGTCAAATTCAAATATTTTGAAGGGTTCTGATAACTGTATGGATAGTGGATATTACACAGGGTCTAAAAAAATTATAGAATCTAATGTATCATCGAGCCTTGGAAAAGAAAAAAAAAAAGTACCAATCGTATCTCTCTTGACATTGCAGTGCAGTGCATGGCATATTGCTGTTTTTTTATGCCAATAACCCTCTCCAAACCAGCAGGTGTAAGATGAATCCCATCTGATAAATTTATTTCGTTGCTAAATAAATCATGCAGCTTCCACAAGAATGGGCTCTCAACTAGCTGGAACATTAACAATGTAGCCATGTAAGTTAAATTCTTTTCAAAGATCTTAGCTACTTTCCGGCAATAAAGATGATTTTATCAAGGGTATAATCAATAACAACAACAAACAAGAATAATGTAACTATTCGGTATCAACTACATGCATCTTTTCTCATCATTGGGCTTTGCATAAGACATTCAAGAAACTTCTTGGAGTTTCTAATATATTCTTCTTAGGTTTCCATCCACCTCTCTGTTAGAATCCTTTTTATTTTCTGAGTTTTGAATAATGTTTTATTGAGTTTGTCTAGTTCAGTAAGAGTCGGATAAGGACTTATTTGAGATTTCTTTATTTATTAGGAGTCTAAGTCTTGACGGACTCAAGGGTGAAACTCGCCTAAGTCCACCCCCTCGCCGCTCCTAGCCCTCGGCGACGCTGCTCCCAACCACGCCACCACTGCTGTCTCTTAGCCTCGGCAGCAACCTTCCCTCGCAACGACCGAAATAGAGCAACTCCCCACACCCATCGCCCTTGTTTCCTTCTTCTCCACCATCATCGACAACAGCCCCCGCAGCCTCAACCCTCAGCCGCTCGCGATCCCTCAACGCTCTTTACCCTACGCAGCAATAGAAACAAGGCAAAACCCCCCACTACCTCCTCACACCTTCTGCCGCAATTGTTGATCGTCGCTGCTTCCTTCTTTCTTCCCTATCGGCATCGATAGCAGCCACCGCAACCTCAACCCTCGACCGCTCGTGATCCCTCGGCATCGCCAGTGTCTCATCCCACGGTGCAACAGAAATAGAGCATTACTGCCAGTCGCGTCGCCATCGCTGCTTCCAGCGCCACGACCATCACTACCTCCCAGCCACGCCCTCAACACTGCCTCGGGCTGACGCCACTGAAAGTTGCACTAAATAGGCAGTGCTAATGCCCTTGACCAGACATCAAAACAAGAACTAGGGATTATAAATCTGCAATCTTACGCAATGGCCAGCAACAACTCAGCGAAAGCTCAATTAGAAGCCTTGGAAATCAGAATTGAGAACCGATCGCAAGAAACCCTTAACGATTTCAAAAAGAGTCTATTGGAGAACTCTAGCAAATTTCAACAAGATGGAAGTTCAAGTCCTGCGTTGAACCGATCTGGAGATATAGGAAAAGAGCCCCAAGAACATGACATAAGCTACCAACGCATTAAGGTGGAATTTCCAAGATGAAAAGATGGGGATTCAACCAGTTGGATCTTCAGGGCAGAAAATTTTTTTCATTTTCACAGAACTCTAGAAGAATCCAAGGTGGAAATAGCCCCAATCCAACTAGATGAAGATGCAATCCAATGGTATTGATTGGTACGAAACCTATCACGCGGTCCCCTCATGGGAGTAATTTAAGATAGGGCTTCTTATTCGCTTTAGACCATCTGAATATGAGAATATTGATCAGTAGATCGCTAAAATTCGTCAGACTTCTACAGTGTTAGAATATCAAAACAAATTTGAACGATTATCAAATCAAACAAAAGACTGGTCCGAACGACAATTTGTGGGTACATTTATCGAAGGACTTGATCCAGATATCCGGTGTGAATTTAAGGCTCGCCAACCCCGCACTATGACAGTTGCGATCTCATTTGCACGTCTGCATGAGGAAAAAATCAGCATAGAAAATCGCCGAAATAGAGGTATCAACAAACAGGTGATCAGCAACCCACCCACCCCATCTACTCCCAACTGAAACCCTAACACTCAAAGACTAACCCAAGAAGAACTCAAGGAAAGATCAACGAAGTGGTTGTGTTGGCATTGTGATGAAAAGTGGAGTAAGGAGCACCGATGCAAACAAGGGAAGCTTTTGATGATTGAGCCTATTGAGGAGGAACCGAAAGCTAACGATTTGGACTTCGATCATGAAGCCATAGAAACTGATGAAGATGTTGAACCTATCACTGTATCACACATACAATGCATGCAATGGCCGACTACTCTTAACCTGCAAACTATGAAAGTCGAAGGAACTTTGAAACATCAGCTTGTTATTGTTTTGATTGATACTGGTAGCACTAACAATTTTATGGATAGTAAAGTCGCTACCCGATTGGCCTACCACGTCGAAGGCTGTGATAAATTTGAAGTAAAGGTCGCTGATAGACGGATTCTAACCTGTGATAGCAAGTGCCCAAAGATAAAACTGACTGTGCAAGGCCAAGAATTGCTTGTGAATTTCTTCTTACTACCTTTGGAAGACTACGAAGTGGTTCTTGGAATTGAATGACTATCAACCTTGGGTGATGTTTCCTGAATTTTTTCTAAACTAATCATGAAGTTTTTTATTAATGGAAAGCAGGTGATCCTAAAACGAAGACGCGGAAGTAAGATCACAACTGTGACTAACCATCGGATGGAGAGGGGTTCTTCAGAAGACACACACCGAATTCTTGGTACAATTGCAAAGCATTTAAAAGGAAACAACAGTGCACATCGAGACCGAAAATATTGAATCATTGCTCAAAGAGTTTGCAGATGTATTTGCATAGCCACAAGGACTCCCACCTCTTCGACCTCATGATCACTGAATTCCGATATTACCCGGGAGAGCACCAACCAACGTTCTGTCACGGACAAAATTCTAAATAGGATGTTTGATGTAATTCTCTTATTTATCCAACAGATGAGCTCTGCATAGGTTCAAAGATCCTTTGAAGATAACGAAAGACAATAGTTGTCAAATCCTCACCAATGGTGATTAGTGCTACTGAGAGTAGATTATCTACTTCATTTCCCAACAGAATGCCAATCGAAAGCAGAAGTGATGTGAATCTACTTGGAAGTGACAACTAAATGAAAGAAGAGTCGATAGGCAAATTTTGTGGAGGAATGACCCAAAACTTCAAAAGTTTGTGAGGCGGTGCTCGTTAAAGCTCCAACAAGCATCCACCCGGTTCATGCAGCATGAGACATTTGAGACTGGCGCATAGTAAGGATGGTCTTTTCCTTCATCTGGAGGATCCGCAAGAACCAACAGGGATCAACACAACTCAGCCAACCCGACACTAGAGTCAGAGTCATTGGCGAGTTAAAGCAGCATGGCAGATCAAAAGTGGACTACTCAACAACAGCAGCAAAGAACAGCTAGGAGCCAAAAGGCGCATTGCAATTGGAGCAGAAGATTGAAGACTCAGCAAAGGCGAGGAGTTACAGTGTCGGCAAAGCCTTCGACGAGGACGTCGAAGGAATAAGTGGGGGAGAATGTCACGGGCAAAATTCTAAACAGGATGTTTGATGTAATGCTTATGTATGTTCGTGTCTTTTAGTTCATTCATGCTTTGCATAACATGCAGAGAGACAGTTGAAAGCTTAACAGCCCCATTTTAGTTGGGTTTGGTAGCCGTTTTAGGCTTGTAAATAAAAGTTGTGTCATGTGGACACTTGTGAGAGAACTCGATCTGTAGTGAACTATTTTGACCCTTTGTTGTGCAACCGTTCAAAGCTTATAAAGTCTGTTTGTAATTTGCATTGTCTATGAAGTGTTTCCTGAAATGTTTGCTTATGGATCCCGAGTGAGACGCTTTCTCTAACCCGTTTTCTCTTTTGTAGGTCCTAAGGGACCATGGGAGGTTTCGGGGAGGCTAACATTTGCGGACGGACATGCAAGGGTGTCGCACGACTTAGGCAAAACCAACTATGTCCGTGACAGTTCGACCCAATAGATATCCACACTTCCATAAGACAGAGATAGAGAAGATTGTCAAAGTGATGCTAGAAACAAGGGTTATAAGAGCTAGTGTTAATCCATATTCCTCCCCAGTCCTACTGGTAAGAAAGAAGGCTCATGGCGGATGTATGTGGACTACAGACTACAGAGTACTCAATAACATTACGGTGAAAGACAAATATCCTATTTCAATGGTAGATGAGCTGTTGGATGAATTGGGAGGAGCCTAGGTTTTCACTAAATTGGACCTACGATCGAGCTATCACCAAATTAGAGTCTATGAAGATGATATTCAGAAAACCGCCTTTAGGACACATAATGGCCACTGTGAATTTCTAGTAATGCCTTTTGGGTTAACTAATGCACTCTCTACCTTTCAAAGTTTAATGAATGATATATTCCGGGCTCATCTTCATAAGTTTGTTTTGGTTTTCTTTAATGATATTTTAATATATAGTCCCTCCTTAGAGAGTTATTTATTACATTTACAGACTTGTCTTTACTATTCTTCGTGAGCATTGTCTTTCTGTCAAGAAATCAAAGTGCAGCTTTGGGCAACCAGAGGTTGAATATCTCGACCATATCATCTCTTAAAAGGGTGTTGCAGTTGATCCTTCAAAAATCTAAGTGATGAAAGACTGGCCAATTCCGAAATCAATCAAAGCTTTAAAGGGATTCTTGGGACTCACGAGCTATTACCGAAAGTTTATGAAGAATTATGGCAAAATTAGTGCCCCCTTGACATCACTTCTGAAGAAAGATGTATTCAGATGGTCAGAAGAGGCAACTCAAGCGTTTTTAACTATTTGAAGACTGTAATAACTATTACACCGGTGCTTACTCTACCCGATTTTAACAAGTTGTTTGCAATTGAGTATGACGTTTCTAGAGCAGGTATAGGAGTTGTATTAATGCAGGAAGGTCGACCCATTCCTTACACTAGTAAGGCTCTTTCCCCTTCCCATCTGAGTTTATCCATTTATGACAAGGAGATGCTAGCCATTGTACATGCAGTCACAAAGTGGAGACCCTACTTAATTGGTTAGCGGTTTCAAATACGCACCGATCACAAAAGCCTCAAATATTTCTTGGAGCAAAAGATTTATTCTTTAGAGCAACATAAATGGGTCACGAAACTACTGAGATTCAATTATAAGATTATTTATAAAAAGGGGAGCGAGAATCTAGTTGTAAATGCATTTTCACTCCTTCCAGAACAAGCTGAACTAGTAGCTATCTCAATTCCTACTTGCGAGACTTTGGAATTTATTAGGAGGGCATGGTCAAATGATCCTGAGATCTAGAATATTATTAGAAGACCAAAAGAAGCTCCGGGTTCTGTCCCAAATTATAGTTGAGAGTCGGTGGACTTACGCTATAAAGGCTGAATAGTTGTAGCACCACATTCTTCTTGTCAAGAGATAATTCTAAAGGAGTTCCATTCATCACAAATTGCTGGTCATTCCGGATTTTTCCGCACTTATAGACGAGTCTGACAACTATTTTACTAGAAATGTATGAAAAATTTTATCAAGAAATTTATTACTAAATGTGATGTTTGTCAACGCCACAAAAGTGAGACAGTAGCCACCCCAGGTTTACTTCAGCCGCTCTCTATTCCTAATGTTTGCTTGGACTGATATATCCATGGACTTCATTGACGGACCCTCCCCATCACAAGGAAAAAGTACTATACTTATAGTTGTAGATGGGCTTACGAAGTATGCTCATTTTTTAGCTTTACGACATCCTTATACTACCGCAAGTGTTGCTCGTATTTTTATGGAGAACATAGCTAAATTTCATGGGAGTCCCCGTTCCATTGTTAGTGACAAAGACAAGGTTTTTACTAGCACCTTTTGAACAGAGCTTTTTCGTTTATAAGGTACCTAGCTAAGTATGAGTACTGCTTACCATCCACAAACAGATGGACAAACTGAAGTGGTAAACAGATGCCTAAAAAATTATCTCAGATGCTTTACCAGTGACAAACCGAAGGAATGAATTAAATGACCTCCTTGGGAAGAGTGGTGGTATAATAACTCCTACTATTGTTCTATTAAAATGACTCCCTTTGAAATAGTTTATGGTCGACCCCCACCTACAATTATAAAATATGTATTCGATTCCTCTAAAGTTGATCAAGTGGACAAGGAATTGCTTGATAGAGACAGGATTATCCAGCTTTTAAAAGATAACCTCACAGCCACACAAGCAAGAATAAAACAACAAGCTGATAACCACCAAAGTGAACGAGAATTTACCATGGGTGATTGGGTTTTCTTTCATCTCTAGCCCTACAAGCAAACTTTCATAAGGGTCCGATCCTCTATGAAGTTGTCTCCTCAATTTTTTGAACCTTATAAAGTATTAGAACGTATTGGACCAATTGTCTACTGTTTAGATTTTCTTGCTAGCTCTAAGATACACCTAGTGTTTTATGTTTCCTGCCTTAAAAGGAAGTTAGGTGAAGATGAGATAGTGCAATACCATTTGCCAAATATCTTTGTTGTTGGTGAAGTTCAAACTCAACCGCAAGCCATACTTGAACGATGAGTTATAATGTGCCACAGACATCCTGTGACTGAAGTGCCGGTGCAATGGGCCAACTTACCAAAGGAAGACGCCACTTAGGAGCCCTACAGGGTGTTGAGAGAGAAATTTTCCGAGTTTGATACTGTTCAGCCTTGAGGATAAGGCTGAATTGAAGGAGGAGGAATTGTTAGGATCCTGTTAGAATCCGTTTTATTTTCTGAGCCTTGAATAATTTTTTATTGAGTTTGTCTACTTCAGTAAAAGTCAGATAGGAGCTTATTAGTAATTTTTTTATTTATTAGGAGTCCAAGTCCTGATAGACTCAGGGGTAGAACTCTATAAATATGGATGTATCTGTTTTTTTTCATGATCTATGAAATATTATTCCAGTCTTTTGGTAAACCTTAGGAGGTCGATCCCCTCGAAGTTACCATTCCTTTTATTTCTTTTCTTCTATGATAAAACCCTAGGGTCTTATCACTCTCCTCCCACCAATTAATGCTAATTTTTATCAAGAATATAAAAGAACCAAAAAAGGACCACAATATCACTATCAAACTAAAAGCCATCAAATATCTTATATCCTTTCAAATTCTAACCCCTCAAAAAAGACTAAATAAAGACAAACCTATAAATTACTAAAAGGAAACTACAATGTGGAAATTTTCCATGTCAGTTAGTTCTTAGACCTGATATATGTTTAGCTAAATTTTAAAACATTGTCCATTGCAAAAGAAACTGGACACCAAATGGCTGCTCCCATTTTTATGCATCATGCCAATTCTAAAAAGACTTCTAGTTAAAGTTTGTAAGCTGCATAAACAATAATTAAGTTGAATTAAGTTTCAATTATGCTTTATACACAAACACAAGTCGCAAGTTAGTAAATGAGAAGAAGACAAAGTATTATAGAGAGGAATGGGTTGGTAATGATGCTTAGTAAAATTAATAAAATGATTTTACTTCATTCATAATAAGTTCTTGCTATGTTCTCTATAATCTCGACATGCCGTATTACCAAGAATAATATTTTTCATATCAATAGGTTAGGAATTCTAATTAATGCTAATTATTAATCATGAATAATAAATTATATTATGGATCATGATATATTAATCTTAAACTCTTTTACACATGATGTTATGCTGAAATATTTTTTGTTGTCATATTCATGCAATGTCATGTCCTACCTTTCAAATTTTCACAAATCAGAACATCTGTACAGTTGTAATACAGTGACCTGTATTTGTGGATTTGCTCAGTAGAGTGTAGGCCTGTTATGTTAAGAATTTCAAGTTAATATTTCATGAATACGGTCAACTAACAGTTCAACAGTATCTCACATTTCAGAACTCATTAAAACTAGAAAAAATTCATGATTTTTAACTAGTCATTCTAAAAAGATACACCTGTATCACCTTAAAAGTAACAATCAAAAGCAAGGAATACCACTTCAAACTTGTCTAGGAGTAACAACAAGAAATACCATTCAAATGGATCAATCAAAAACAAAAAACAAGGTAAACCTATTTGTCAAATGCAAGATAGTTCTACATACAAGTACAGGAAAATATCAAACTATTTGTCATTCTTCTGTAACCAGTAAACATGATTTTGTGCTCGAGATCTGGTAGAAAATGAAGGAAACAGTAGTTCATAAACCTCACTGTGTGTTAGAAGGGGGGAGAAGGGCATAGTTAAAAAAAGTTTCAATCATTTCAACACAAAGTGCAGGTATCACATAACAAGAAACATTTACCTGCCCATAAGTGGTGGCACGATATGGAACTGTCTGTGGATTTTTAGCGAGTAACATATCATGAGCCTGTTGCAGAGTTGGTATTAGTCCTTCTCCCAACAATTCTGAATCTAGTATCTCACTTACCTGCGTCAATCCTTAATTTCAGTTTATAGGTAAAATGTTGCACATCAGCACATGCTTAATCAAATAATCAGAGCAGAGATATGAGTCATTGTGGGTTGATTGAGATGTGACTGCATCAAATTCTTGGAGACTAAAAGCACATCAAGCAGTACTTTCCCCACATAAATGCTACCGATCACTAGAAACAGCTATTGGCAAATTCCTATTGGTCATTCAATCTGATTTAGCTACAACAAGAACAAAGATAGTTTGCTATTGGCCAATAAAGATTTCAGCTAACAAAAACAAAAAATTAGTATTAGGTTTGATTTGGCCATTATTTTAAAGGAATTAAGAGATGAATGAAGACACAAGAAGCAGCAAATCTCCTTTCTCCTTTTGTTTCTGACTTGAGACCTATATAATTCTTTCTTTTCCTTTTTTTCTAGTTTCTTATTTCTTAAAGAGGCAAATTATCGAAGTTCCTAACGGTTGAATTTACAAAGGGTGTGCAGAATGCAGCAAGTTAAGGATCCTTATGCAGAAACAAAGTGCATTTTAAATAGCATTCTAAATGTCATTCCTAATCCTCTGCCTTAAATACTAATCCTCGGTGAGGCTTCTCTTTCACCTCTCAAGCACTTTTGTGCTCGTGAAAAAGCAGCCCATATAAACCAAAAATTTCCAGTCCCATCGACTTGAATTTCAATTTTTAAAAGTTTCACATTACAAATCCATTGCCTTGATGGGCTAGCTATAAACTTTACAACAAAATGAGTTCTTTAATAGAGAAAACAATTGATGTCAGGATGTCTCTTAAAACAACTTAAGTACTAGGTAAAGAGAAGAAATCTTATGGATCGAGATTTTATATCCCAAGTCGAACAACTCCCAGAATGGTACAATGCCAAGAAACTGAACAGTACTCCAACAATACCACTCAGTAAGACTAGAAAAAATAACAATAGTACACTGAGCAGTACTAAGCTATATGGTACACAGCTTGAGCTTAGACTGATAATCACTGATCAACTGTTATTTAAAACTGCTCACAATACAGAATCAGGCCGATACCAGGCTTATGTACAGTATGGGTATACTGCAATATACCACGATAAGAAGTCCTGAAGTCCCAACTATCTAGGTTATCAATATCTCAGATCTCATAAACTATATAGATTTTCTGACATTGACCTTTCGCCAAGGAAATAACACTAGTCAAATGAAGAGATCCAATCTACATTTATTATATCTAATAACGTTTTATTAGATCCTGGACACACTGGTATATATCAGTAGAGTCAGTGTCTGATGAACCAATATAGACTGGTCTATAAGGACTAATATTTTTAATAGATGATTTGAACAATTAACTCATACTTGAAAAGCGATCCATACAGGTATCGATGAGAGCTAGACGCATTAAGCTTCAACTGTAAAATTAGATTATAAAAAGCTTGTATGTCTTCCCTTCTATTTCAGAAGTTAGATAGCTATCTTCATAATCCATCTATATGGAAAAAAGTTGTGCCAACCCAAATGATCAATAACTAAGATTTCCTCTAGCAGTACAAGGAAAACCTTTGATTTCAACCAAAAATTTGCTGCATATTTCTAGCTCTTAATCAATATAACTCTGACCTTCAAACAGTGAATCTCAATTTTAAATCTTCCTTCTTCCAAGTTCAAATGGTCTCACTGGTTAACAGTTAGTTTTTGACATCTAACAAAACAAGCAGCCTTTACATAAGTATAACTAAAGCATGGTGTTTTGGTTGCATTGATTGGGTTGTCCTACAGTTTCAGAAAACCAAGATCCTAACATGATTTGACTGTAAATCATAATCATGCTGTTATACAGAACTATCAAGAGATATATACAATTACAGGTTTAATGAGAGCAAAAATGCATGATATATAGCTCCAAATTCCAATAAATATTCCTCAGAAAATAATGATAACTGGTATAATTCTCTCCACTGGGAACACAAATGTAAAGGGCAAAGCTAAACTAGAGGGATCCATTAATCAATTGTCATTTATCACCTTGATAGTTATTAAGTAAACTTCTCATATGGATTGCATAGTCAATCTTAATATGTATAGTTAAAAGAGTTCATCTAGTAGGATGTGTTAAAACTTAAAAGTTGTCTTCATTCCTTCCAGCTCATATGTCAACATGAAGAAAGGATTAAATCTTAAGCATAATGAACTCAAAAAATCCCTAAAAATTAGAAACTAAATAAACAATGTAGGAAGAATAATTTCATTTGTTACTTCATCAGGAATAAACAAACAAATTTATATGAAGGATCTTAAACCCATAAAAGTAAAATACAGCTATCCTATTACAGTCCAATACAACTATACATGTAAATTTTAGACCGGTATCCTATTTAATTTACAAATATAAATATTTAGGAACATAACTACACAGGAATACAACCATATAAGAATATGGCCTCCATATTCTAGGAATTCAACATTCATAAGACGATGACAACGACAACAACAACAATGCCGTAAGTCCCAACTAGGAATACAACATTCATATCAATAGCAATAAAAACTTACCAACACTTCTGCAGGTGATTGTAAGTCAACACCAACAAGGAGCTCATCAGATCGCTTATGGAAGACCTTTACCTTCTTCTCCATTTGATTTTCCCATAGCACCTTCCGCATCAGCTTCCCCATGGGAAGGTAAGATTCACAAGCTGACACCTTTGCCTCCGAGGCCTCTTCAAATTTCGCCATTGTACTTGCCGCCATCATTGACAATAGGCCAGTTCCAGCTCTGCAACCACAATGTAATTTGTTTCACAGCTTTGGCATCTCTATGTGACTTGCATTGAGCCTAAAGCCATAACTGAATCAATGTCAACTTAGTTTCCCTGCATTTGAACCCCAAATTCATATGAAAAATCAATTGCATTTCCATAATGTCACTTCTATTCTTTTTATGTTATAAACTTACAATTGTCACCATAGCAGCTAGTATTGGTTAAATCAACTAAGGATTCCACATAAGAAAAAGAATAACAGAGTGTCAAACAGTCATGAATAATCTAGCATCGAAGTTTGAGTAGAAATCAAACCTATGAAATTTTCATGAACTATATTTTAATATTTCCATTTCACTGACATAATGGACAAGAAAGACGCTAACTACTAGTTCCATCATCAATCTGCCACTCATAGTCGGATCCATTTACAGCCAGTAGGGGAATGTTAGATACCCTTTTAAACTTCCCCAGTAAAGCTTGACAAAACAATGGGCTGAAAACCAAAATCCAAGTCCTATGAGAAACAATAAGTCTCAAAACTAAATTATGTTTGAACCCATTGTAGGACCAATTAGCGACCAAGATAAGAACTGTCATATCCCAAAACTATTATTATGTCATTAACAAAATGTCCTACAGGAGTTACTTAGGCTTCATCTAAATCGCTAGTTATTTTAATTAAAATCAAAACTAAACAGATACCGCACTTTCTTGAAATTTTGACAAAAATTAAAACAAACTCCTTGCCAAGCCTTCTCAAATGTAGATTAGTCTATCGGCTCCTGAATCCCGAGTTCTTCTGTAGACACTAATACCGCAGTACAAGTATAACTATTGTCAAACATAACCACCTAAAAGAGATCATTTCTAACACTTTTTCCTTGTTTGCTTTGATATTATTCACTGAGAAACATCTTATCAAACGATAGATACATCATCGTTAATCGACTAGTGTTCCGACTGACCTGAATTAATACCACACAAGATATCTTCGTTTTCGATCCATGGTTATAGAGCCATGGCAAGATCCAAAACGATCAAAGAAAAGATACACTCACCCAATGTCAACGACGTGGCAGGGCTTCTTGATGCTCTTCTCGATGGCTGCGCGGAATGCCCAATTCCGATAGGAATCATTGAGCATATCGAGGTAAGACGTGGTCGCCAGCAGGTTCTCGGACGTCTTCTCCTCCAATTCCTCTCTATCTCCTCCTTCCTCGACGACGATCCACTCGGAGTCGCCGGTGAGGGGGTTGACTCGGAGCTGGAACGCCCGGGTCTTGGGACAGGCGGTGGTTGCGCTCATCTCTCGGACGGAGAAGACCTTGGCGTCGCGGCCGTGCGAGGTCGGCGGGAGGAGGGAGCTGATGGAAGAGGTGGATATCGCCGCTCAAGAGCCGGCCAGCAAAGTCTTCGGCGATAAGAGTTAGCCGTGTAGGGTTCATGAATCAAATCAATCCTTTATCCCACCCGTTCAGGGTTCACATCCACCTGATTCATGATTGGTTGGACCGGTGGGCCCTTTGAATATCCCGCTTCGGCCCGCAGCTTCTCCAATCACCGTCCGTAGGCTCATAAAAGCAAAGATGCGTGCAGGGCCCTTGATCGGCTCGCTGGAGTTTTGCTTACAACCGTTCTTGTAGCAGAGCTGTCAACCAGCCGTCGAGTCCGTACTCATCCAAAGCACCTATGAAGTCATCGCTCGCCTCAGCGACCCCGTCCTCATCCGAGCCCCCTTCCCCATTCGTTGTACCCGGCCACAGCAGGGGCTCCCGTCCTCCGCCGCCGGCCGCCACGTGTCGTCTCCGCCGATCCGAGGAGGGCACTTGACTCGTGGACCCCACACTGTCTGGCCAGGTGGCCCCGCCGCTCCCGGGGGCCGCTGCCGCCGGCCTCGTGTCCAGCCCTCCTTCTTTCCCCTGCCCGCTCCCCGCCTACTTGGCACCTGTTCGCGCCACCACACGTGCCACCGGTGCCGCAGCCGTCATAATAGATAAGTACCCCACGGTCACCTGCTTGGCCCTCACATTCGTCACAGTGCTGCCATGGGACCTCAGGAGAAGCAACCAAGGAAATGCTGCCCGCTGCGGAGATCGAGGAAGGGGTGCATGAAGGGCAAGGGCGGTCCCGAGAACCAGGCATGCACGTACCGAGGGGTGCGCCAGCGGACGTGGGGCAAGTGGGTTGCGGAGATCCGCGAGCCCAACCGCGGCGCCCGCCTGTGGCTCGGCACCTTCAGCACCGCCCTGGAGGCCGCGCAGGCCTACGACAACGCGGCCCGCTCCCTCTACGGCGACTGCGCGCGGCTGAACCTGTCCGACAGCCGCCCCTCGTCCGTGGGGGATAACTCCACCGGGTCGACGCCGCCGCCTCCCGCTGCGGCACTCGTCAAGCCGGACTTCCGGTGCTCGTCCTCCTGGTCCAACGAGACCAGCACCGGCGACTCACAGGCGAGCTTCCCGGACAGCATCGGCTTGCCGGCCGCGCATTTCTACGCCGGCGGCCTCTACAGTTTCGACGATTATGTTTCTGGGTTGCCGAAGCCAGAGGATTTCGGGCTGGAGGCCTTCCACAGCGTTCCATTCTTAGACGAGCAGGAGCTCGACACACAGTTCATGAACTTTGAACCACTGCAAGTGTCATCGTATTCTTAAGCAGTTCTATGTGTATACCGATATAAACTGGATCACCGCGTCCTAAATACTCGAACCGTTGTCTGTCTGTATACCGATGCATGTAGCTCTATCGATGTAAATTGGATCGACGTCTTCTTCCTTTCTATAGATGAAGAACAGAGCAGCTATAGACGCTTACACTTGTTCTCTTCCCGGTGATCTGCGTCTTTGACTTTGTGTTCGTTTCTCTGTGACAAATGAAGGCAGCTTAGCTGCCATTGTATTCTTTTGCAATCTTCCATATCGGACACAAGGTGAGTTAATGATCGACCAGCAAAACTGGGCCTTTGCAGCAGAACAGGTGGGATCTTGTGCAGAGGTTCTTGAACGGATGATTACTAGTTTGACTTAATCTACCAGGGGACTACGTCCACAATAAGCATAAAATAATATCATACGAAATAAATTAATGTCAAAATTAAAATCAAATAATATATATCAAAAATTAGATTTACATACATTTTTAATATTATTTCAGAATATCTATATCAAGTCTGAAAATACACCATATTCCAATCCAAAAGCACCATGGTTCAATGCATAGCAAGTAATAGAACAAATCTATAAAGAAAAATTAGATTTTTATTTTTTTTAATCTTTCATACAACTATGGTCAACAATGAATTAAAGAGATTAACTTAGTTATGTTCTGAACACAAAAGATAATTAGGAGAGTCCCTCCTACTAACCAATCAGGTATCATAATATAAGAGGAATTTCTTTCTATTCTAATAACTCTAATTATAATTTAATTAAAATTTTAATATATCTTAATAAAAATTAATCAAGGTTACATAATCGAAGTTAGCATTCTGCCACTTAACCTATTAACAGATAAGATATAAAACAAAAGGATTCAAAATAAAAATAAAAATAATTTTACACATATTTTACATGTGCACACGAATTTTATAAAACAAGTCAATAAATCTAATAAATACAACAATACCATATTAGATTTGACTATTAATGTGAGTCTATCTATCATTAATGTCATACTTTCAAATACTTTAAACTGTAATGATGAATGGACTAGACATCAATATAATGAAATTAAAGTTCTTAATTAACACTAATTATTATTAAACTCTTTCTTTTACCATCAAGTACTTTATATCAATATGTTTAAAATTACTAAAGAACTTGTTATTGTTAGAGAAGAAAAATATTGCGATATAGAAAAAAATATTCTTTAATAATTTGATAATTAAGTCTAATAATGCCAAGTCATGATATAAAATTTTACAGTCAAAACTTAATTAATAACCTTAAAAGATGTCACAAAATTAGGTTATAATGTAATAATGTATTACTTTATACTTTTCTTTGTAATTTACAAAATCGACAAATAAAAATATCATCATTTCAAATTGATCTAATCTCCTATGCAAGCATATAATCATTTATCTCTTGTAGATATTTTATTATTTTATTTGTAGCTCTCTAATATTTCATTCTTAGGTACTCTAATATCTACCCATTATTCTAAATACAAAACTAATATCTCGTCTAGTATATCCTTAAGTATATAATAGACTTCCAACCATGCATATATTTTTCATTCATTTTTTTGAGTTATTTTAAAAAACTAGCTTTAATTAATTTTTTTTACTTTTTAACATTCATTGAATAAAGTTGTATACTAATTCTCTCTAAGACTTGATTAATATATCATTTCTAAGATAATTTTAGTAATAATTGAGATGTATCTCTAAATATTTTCAAATGAAAAGGAGAGAATTAGTAGAGATGCACCCCTTATCATTTTTACAAGTTATGAAAAGTAGATATTTTGAAAAGTAATATGATGTAATGAAAAAAAAATTAAAATCAATGGATCAGAATAATATCTAGGTGCTTGTCAAATTACTTAACAATTATATAAGAGTCAAAATTGATCTATGAAACTAGATATAAAGCCAAATTTGTGCAACAGTTTTTTTCAAAAGAAAAATATTGACTATAATGAGATTTTTTATTTTAAAAAGAACTTATTAAAAATAGTCATAATATTTGTAACTCTTTATGATATTAAGTTACATTATATGAATGTAAAAGTAAAATTTTTAAATAAAAATTAAATAAGAAAATTTATATAAATCAACCTAAAGGATTTGTAAAAAAAGAAAGAAAATGAGAATTTGACTTATAAATGTAGGAAATTCATTTATGACTATAAACAAGCTTTTAGATAATGATTTCATAAAATTATTATTTTTTATATTTTAAAAAAATATTATTTATTAGTGTTCATATTTAAAGGTTAGTGAGAGCTAATTTATTATATTGGTATTATATGTAGATAATATTTTACTTAGCAGTAATGATCATGATTTATTATATGAAACCAAGAAATGTCTCACTATGAACTTTAAGTTGATTGATATAATTAAAATAACTTATGTTATTAGCATCAAGATATTTAGCGATATATCTCAATTATTGCTAAAACTATCTTAGAAATGATATTTTCTAAACTAATTTAAAACAACTCATGACATGCATTATGTAATTTCGAAATAAAGCAAAGGGGTTTTGGTTACCTCGTCATCGAAAGTCGTTAAGATGTAGTTTGTCAGCTCATCTTTATTGGTTTGTTCTTCATCTTCGGATGAACTTGATTCATTCCAAGCCACCTTAAGTGGTCTCTTCTTCTTTGGCAACTTCTTTTTAAGTTCATTTTTATTCTTTAATTGTTATTGCATAAACTTTTTAAATTTTATAGTGAGAAGTTCAAAGTCGTCATCATCATCACTTGAGATTTCGCTCGAGTGGTCCTTTTGAGTTCTAAGTGTCAAATCCTTTCTGTTCTTTGGAAGGTTGTTCTTATATTCGTTTTATATCGTACAACTCATTTCATAGGTCATTAAAGACCCGATAAGTTCTTCAAGAGGGAAAGTATTCAAATCCTTGGCCTCTTGAATGACCGTTATTTTAGGATCCTAAGTTTTAGAAAGATATCGTAAAACTTTATTAACAAGTTCAAGATTCGAAAAACATTTGCCAAGAGCTTTTAATCATTGATGACATCCGTAAAACGGGTGTACATATTAATAATAGTTTCACATAGCTTCATTTGAAATAGTTCAAAATCATGCATCAAAAGATTGATTTTTGAATCTTTAACTTTACTAGTGCCTTCGTGTGTGATTTCAAGTGTATGCTAAATATCGAAAGTCATTTTACAAATAGAAACATGATTAAACTCATTTTTGCTTATGTTGAATCTCAAATTTTGATTATGAAACCAATTGATAAGTATTTATGATTTAATCTACGTTTTGAGTGACGTAGGAAGCTTCGATTAGGATGAGACAATTAAAGTAGGAAGAATCATGTTGGGCTAGTCAAACATGTCAAAAGATTGGATGTCGAGCCGGAGGATTGGTCGACATATCAACAGAAGGCTTCGGGCCATGAATTCGGGCATCGGGCCAAGAAGAGCGGATATTGCACCAAGGATATCGGAGTTACGGAGGTCAATTGGCCGATTGGGCAATAGGCAATAAGAGAGAACGATGCACTGAAAAATCGAACGAAGTGTCGATGAACCAATGACATGTCGGACAATATGATTCAAGCTTTATACTATTTGTCTAGATCAAAGTTAGTTTTTATGTGTGTAGGATTAACTATGATAGCAAGGCATAAAGCAAAATAAAGTCTCAGAGTCAAGAACGTGATTTTGTTGGGAGTTCAAGAGTTCGTCGGAAGTCCAAAAGTTCATCGAAAGTTCTGCCAGAAC